GGGGGGGGGGAGCAAAAAAGCAGTGTTTTTTGCATCAATGGAAACTTCTAGTGTCACCCTTTTTAACTGATGGGAGAAATCACAAGATGACAAACCACAACCTCTTGCCTGTCCTGTCCTGCCTAAGAGCCTCCCTGGGCCAGAACAGCAGTAGTCAGAGGAGACATCAGGAAACAGCCTCTTGAAGTTGCTCAAGGCACTGAACTTTTCCCTCTGGTCCTTCCAGTGCACAGTACAATGCCCTTCAGTGTTTACTTTGAAAACACAGTGCAAGAGGAACAAATACACCAAATAACCTGAGTTTTCAGTATAACCTAACTTACAAGAGGAACTCACCTTCATGAATCGATGAGGCGGACTTCTGAGATCAAACATGGAACGACTTACATCAAACGATCCAGGCAAAGCACTAGGTCGTAAATCACTAACTAAAAAGACAAAGAGAACAATACAAATCATGTAAGCATCATTGCTAGAAAAAAAAATAATTAAGAAGCTTTTTCTAAATTTAAGTAGATCTATGGTAGAACTGAAGCCTAGCTAAACAACATCTAAAGAAGGACGTCAGCACCTTTCCCCACTTCCCTTTCCCAAAATGCTCTCCTGAAATGACAAAATGGAGAGTCATTAAACAATAAGTCATTAAAACATCTCAATCAATTTCATCTTTGAAATAGTTCAAACTTACTTGGCCACATTAGTAGCACTGGTAGAATGGGGAGCATGCCTCAAAGTTAATCCCGCAAGAGAAATGTGGGTTTTTAGCAGATGCTTTGGTGAATCATAGAACGGTTAGGGTTGGAAGGGACCTCAAAGATCATCTAGTTCCAACCCCCCTGCCATGGGCAGGGACACCCTCCATTACACCAGGTTGCCCAAAGCCTCATCCAACCTGGCCTTGAACACTTCCAGGGATGGGGCATCCACAACTTCTCTGGGCAACCTGTTCCAGTGCCTCATCACTCTCAATGTAAAATTTTCTTCCTTATGCCTAATCTAAATCTGCCCTCTTTCAGTTTAAATCCATTGCCCCCTGTCCTGTCACTACACGCCCTTGTAAAAAGTCCCTCTCCAGCTTTCCTGTAGGCCCCCTATAAGTACTGGAAGGCTGCAATAAGATCACCCTGGAGCCTTCTCTTTTCCAGGCTGAACAGCCCCAACTCTCTCAGGTTGGCTTTCTGGGCTGCCAGTGCACATTGCCAGCTCACGTTGAGCTTCTCATCCACCAGCACTCCCAAGCCCTTTTCCTCAGGGCTGCTCTCAATCCATTCTCCGCCCAGCCTGTACTTGTGCTTGGGATTGCCCCGACCCACGTGCAGGACCTTGAACTTGGCCTTGTTGAACTTCATGAGGTTCTCACAGGCCCACCTCTCCAGCCTGTCAAGGTCCCTCTGGATGGCATCCCTTCCCTCCAGCGTGTCCACAACACCACACAGCTTGGTGTCATCTGCAAACTTGCTGAGGGTGCGCTCGATCCCACTGTCCATGTTGCTGACAAAGATGTTAAACAGCACTGGCCCCAGTACTGACCTGGCTGACAAATTTGAAAGACAAGAACTGGGGCTTAGCCTGGTCTCCTTTTTTAAATTCTTTCACAGTAAAGATCCCAGTGGCAAAAACATGCTTCCTGCTAAATGTGGCCTCATCTCCCTGGCGTTACTGATCACATCGTCAAAGCACCACACTCTGCACCCTTACTAGATCTAAGACAAAGCAAATCTTAATTCTAAGGTGACACGCACTTGTTGTAACACAAAAGCAAGATCTTTACTTTATAGAAAGGTAGTTCCCTCAGCAGTTGGAGGTGGCTAAGTAGATCCTATCAGTTGCCTTTTGACCTCGAAGCAATACAGAGCTAAATCACATTGTTTACGTATGTTATGCAGCAACAGTAGAAAATGAGCTGAACTAACGCCACTGTTTCAGGAACCTTTGCTGACTCCAGTAATGTTCCAGAAGTTTTTAAAGCCGTCTAACTTCAACACTGACCCATACTGAAATGAATGAAAACAGTATGGTTTAACTTCTAGGATTATCTGATGCAATGAACTGCTTTTTGTTGCAGTGCTGTGTTATGATATTTCAGAAGACTTCCTTTATAATTTACTGATCATATCTTAATAGAATTACATCACTCGTTACTGAAAATTTACTTCCCTTTTATTGCTAGCAAAAGAAATAGCCAATTATGCTTATTGTCAGATGTGACAATAAAGAATAATTATTTCTTTTCCCAAGGAAGAAAAAGAGAACAAAAGATGATGAAAGTTTTGACAACCCATGGGAGGGAAAGGAAAGTAACAACATCATTTAGATAAATTTAACGAAGGCCTGTATGTCTGGCATGAGTTCCAATTCTCTCTGGTGCATGACACAAAAGGGCTGAGTTGTTCACTGAGTCTGGTGTAGAAATAGCATTATAATATCATACGAGGCCTAGAAACCTTGTTTGATATAATGGGAGCAAAGAGGGGAGACCAGGCTATTACTTGATTTGAAACTGATTATGGTTATGGAAATTAATTCCATATTCAGTACTCAAGACTTTCACAAACTACTGAGAAATATCTACTCGAGCCTACAGGTTAGAAAACACCAAACACTTTAAAGACAGTATGATCTGCCGTTTCTAGTAAATCTGGTTAAAGCTTTCAAAGAACATGAGGGTGGTGGGGGGAAGAGATGGTACCTTTTTCAAAACTTCAATTTTTAATGGAAAAAAATGACAAGTTTTACACTGAGAATGTTGTCTGCAAAATATAAAAAAGCAGAAAAATGTTAACCATAAACATATGTTCTATACCATTAATAACTAGAATTTTGGGAAAATATTAATAAATTTATTTTTCAGGTTTTTTGGGGTTGTGTTTTTTGTTTTAAAAGACAAGGAGGGACTTGACATGAAAATTCAGGAATTTCACTTCATACCTGCCAAATAAACACATTCTGTAGTTCTAAGCCCACACATAAGAAAAGCATCATAGCACTTGCTGCAACAACGTAGGCTTAAAGTTTTGCTTAAATAGTTTATAGATGCACATGGAAGAGAATCATCTAGCTTTTGAAACAGCTGTCAAAAAACACTGGAGGAAGGTGGCACTTTAGAACTCTACTCTAGACACATTTAAGTGATCTCTCTTGTGTTTAAGCTTACTAAGACAAAACCAGTGAAGTGTTTACTTAGCTTGAAGAAAAATGGAAAAAGAGATGGTGAACTGAAGGGAAGATGTTCAAGACAGCTTTATAAAACCCATTTGGCTCCCACCACGGATGCTCACAAAGCCTAGCAAAACCATATGCATTAAAGGCTGCTAATATTCTATGTGTGTTTTGTTCTCTGAAAAAATAATATGGAGTAGTCTTTTCATGTAGTCTCTATGGTGATGCAGCATTATTTTTAAAACAGGACACAGACTGAGAAATTTCCCCCAGCTGTAAAATAAGCATGCTATACCATTCTAAATACAACATCTTTAAAAATGCATGCTGTTGCCAGCTTCTGATACGATAGAGAAGTGCGTACATTTCTTCGAGTGTATGAGTTTTATGAATGCATTTGCTTTAGCATTCACTTACAGTAAGCAACACTCAGTCATTGCTTTACTCTAAACAGCATTTATTATAGGACACACATACCAATGAACAGCACAGAAAATTTTACCTAGGTAGCCAAACACTTTCTATCTGAACTTCTATAACCTCACAGCTCGCCCCCGTTCTTAAACACACTTAACGAATGAGAAGTGGGGACATTTCTGCACCTTCAAAAGCAAACTACAAAAAAGCTGGCACATAGCATCACTTCCCATTTTGCACCTGTTCTTATCATCTGCTCCCTAATATTTTTTGGTGCTTGTTCCTCTCCCCATATGTATACTCCTCAGGCATTCCTCCACTCAACATACTGTCCGACTTCCTTTTTCCATCTCCCTCAAACACTGCTATTACTGCTAGCTGGAATTTCCAGCACTGCATCCTGTTTTGGATAGGAGGCAGCTATGCTGGCTTGCTTTGCCAATTTGTCCACCTACGTGTGATGCATGGAAGCCTTGTTAAGCCCCCAAAAGACAGAAAGTAACAGCGCTGCTGGAAATCAAGCAGAGCTGGCTCCACAGATCGATTCAACAACCAAGAAGTGTCCGTAGCATACAGACCAGTTTGAGAACTGCTATAATCAAACATGTCTTCCATAGACGAATGGCTTTTTTCTCTTACCTATGAATCTTGGGAAAGGGAAGAAGACAGAAATGTAAGGCTGCATTCCTTCTCACCTGATCCATACAATTTCCTATTATCTGATTTTGCTTGGAAGCGCCTAATCAGATCTGGCGAAACACGATGCTCCAAATAGAACGGGTTGTAGACGTCATAGCGGGGCCATTGGTACACGCCGTGCAGTTCTGCTTTCCGGTCACCAAATGAGGCTCTGGCAGATTCTGCAGAGCACAAGTAAACATCAAATGCAAGAGTTCCAGACATAACACGTGCTGCCTGGCTTTGTAAAGCAGGCAGATTGCCTTCAGGGCAAAGGACAAAATATTTCAATATTATCTACTTCAGGAAAAGGACCAAAAAAAAAAAAAAGTAAAGGAAATACACATACACATTATGTCAGATTTCCACAGTGTGCTAGCAAACATTAGAATTAAATTGGCCATAAAAAGCTATGCATGCTCTCTCCTGGAGTTCCACAATAAATGCCTAACTAGTTAAAATACAGAAGGCTCCAAAGACTGACAGTAAGACAGAAATTAACAGGAAAAGTAAGTAGGGCCATGTGTACATGGCAGGACATTCTCACTCAGCTAACAGACCCCAGACCTTCAGGAGGGTCTTGTATGGAAATATAAAGCAACTTGTGACTGCAGTCTCCTTGTCATCCAATTTCCATAGGAAGTCTGTCAGTGGTAAAATCACTGGTCCAAAATGACTTGAATTGTTGGCTGAGGCACAAGTAGACAGATCTGAGAATGCTTGAATCCCAGCCCTTCACTCAGCCCATTACAGCACAGCTGCCCTATTTTTCTTTCCCTTATTTACAATCATCTCAGAAAAAACATGCATGTCTTGGTCTGCAGAACAGTAAAGAACACTGCTGTAGCACTTCATTTTGTCTGTCTGGAGTGAAAATAAGTCATATATAGCAGCAGAGTAGAGAATGAGGATGGGGTGATCTGAACTCTGCAAAGGTCTGAAATTTGCTTCCTTCACTTCATCTCCCTGGATTTCAACCTACATGCTAGAAAGTTCTTTACTCCATTATAAAGTGTCTTCAATTCTGCAAGTGTGTTGCACCATAAGAGGCAAACTATTATCACTGTAAAATCCTTTCCTCCAGATATTAGTAGAGAAAGTAAAAAAGAGTAACGAAAACAGTGAGATGGAACATGAGAGAGCAAGAATTCAAGTATAATGGGCTTGAGCATGACGTAAATTAGGATGAATGCTAGAAGTGAGGCCATAAAGAACTGATACACAGCAGATGACAGAAAAGCCAGTGTTCCATACCAGGAGCACACTCCTTCCTGCTAGCTTACTTCTGTGACAGCATGAGACACGCTACAGTGAGCACTGAAGAGAAAGGCTGCCAGAACTTAATTGCTTTCAGAAGGGATGCCAAGAGCTAACGCTGAGCATGTCCTGTTTCACTACAGGAAAACGGTCAGACATGCACAGAAAAAGAAGTGCAACTGAGAGCAGAACTTGGACTTCTACAGATATTTAATAACGGTCTAAGAAACAAATACTCTAAATACATTTTTTTAATATGCCGGTGCTTTGGCTAATGCACAGAAGGAATGACAGCATACTTCACTGTATTTAGTAAATCTCCCAAAAAGTAAACTTTGCATTTTTAAACATAACTCCAATGAGACTTAAAAAGCTGTACTTTAAAAGATAAGTATTTATATTTGGAAAGAGAAATGGAAGTTGCGTACTTGACATAAGAGCCACTTTTCAAATATTTGTTCAAGAATTTAAAACATTTGCTCAAGAGAGACAATTATGAAGAGTCAGGTCATCCTACCAGAAGATCTACCAGCTTTACAGCCTAAGGGCCACTCTGTTCACCACGTCCTTCAGAAATGATGATGAAGCAGAATTTCCAATGAAGACAAGTCTCTGGTTTACAAGTTACTGACTGATAAGATTGTGCAAAACAGCATGAACAAAGAAAACATTTAGCTAAAGGTTGTTAGACCTATCTTCTTTCTCCCTAGAGAACATTCATGCCTCAGAGCCCTTGATGGACTTCTCTGTACAGTATCTTGAGGATGAGGCAAGACAAAGGAAGACAGAGCCTGAACCCAGACCCAGTGAGAAAGAGGATTACCAGAAGTATGTCTTGCAGTTCCATACCTTGTCCAAGTATGGACTTACAAGAACTAGCTGCTGAAGTAGGAGGGAACTGGGGAGGCTGAAGGAGATCAGGCTCAGAGATGAGGAGGGCCTCAGATGTTCTACCTCCAAGTAATAGGTTGTCCACTACTAAGATCAGGCACAGAACGGCCAGTCTACATTGAAAAGCTCTGCTAGGCTCAGCTCTGGCACCAGTGTTAGCAGCAGGGGTGGGTGAGAGTGAAAAGGAAGTTTGGTAATAGGCATGCAGGAAGAGAAAAGAAGCAACAGCAAGGACCTGGGGAGAAAAGAGTGGGAGTAAAACCATGCAAGCACAAAAAGGTTAGGTAGTACTGCATTAGTTGTTATGCAACAGGTGGCTGGCTTTTTTCAGTTATTGAGGTTTCCACCCTCAGAAGGGAAATACACTCATATAGGACTAAAAGCATATTATTCGCTTATCACATCCTCAAGGCAAAGCAACTCTAGAGAGAACGACCATTCAGGTATGCCCCTGTGTCAAAATCTTCTCTTACCTAATTCTAGGCCTCTCCTGGCAGAACCAAGAGCCTAGCAATAGCATATGCCCTGCAACTTGTGTTACTGGGCCAGGCTCCTATTCTTTAAAAATGTCACTGTGCACGTACATCATTTTGGCAGTCTGTGCATGGCACTAACTGGCAGAGGTTGAAGCACAAGATTGTTTTGAAGCAAAGAATCATACTATCATGTGCAACCTTATACTACTGAGATCTGTGACCGCCTCTTTGGAAAGAGCAGCAAAAAGCAGGAAGTAGTAGGGGAAAAAAAATCCACCATGTAGTGGATAGCACATGCTATCTCTTGGCAAAATTTGAAAAGGAAGATGTGCTAGTATGTTAAAACATATCAGTACATTAAACGTGAATGCCAGATCACCCTCCTCCTTTACTTGAGTGATCTGGACACTGGGGATAGGTTAGGCCTTTCCTTGCCTCCAATAAATTCTTTACTAAAGCTTCTGTTTCCTTTAAGCCTCTTGCATTACTTTGAGTACGGGCACTGGTGTGCAATCCTCCCTTTCGGTTTTATTAATGCGACATCACAGAGATTCACAGTGGGATGACATCCTTCACAAAACCTCTCTGGATGTCCAGAGGGAAAAGAAAAAAGACTGAGCTTCTAGAAGAGTTCTGCAAACACACGTTTTCAGTAGGAACACTTGAAACTTTCAAGGAGTAGCAGAAACTAAACAACTATTTCAGCAATGCTATGTTTTACCTTGAATCTCTCCAGCATGTGAGATACTAGGAAGGTTCTTCGGCTGTACATAAGCCAATTTGAATGGAGGGACCACAAATGGTACCTCCTGACCATCCAGGGGCAGTTTAGAAAGCAGATAATCCTCTGAACAGCCAACTTGACGCTTCACGGACACAGAAGACAATGCAGGCTTCTCTACAATAGTTGGCTTGCTTGCGGGTACTGCTTCAGATTCCTGCACCATGGAAACCGCTAAAAATAAAGAGCAAGAAAAACAGACAGTCCACATGTGCATTAAGTTTTGAACAATACTGTGAATAGATCTCTCTTATTTAACAGGATCTGTGCTTGATACGTTACTTAACAGCTGCTAGTATTCAGTTCTATTAGCATTCAAGACTAGCACCTGGAAAAGCTATTCATCCTCATGACACCTGTACTGATCCAACTCTTCGTTGCCCAAGCTTCTATATTTATAGCTACCTTGCTCTTAAGTGAATTTTTACAAGAGGTACACTTGTATCATAGAAGAGTTCTTCAAACAACTAAGATACCAAAGAAAATCCTAACAAATCCATAGGGAGTTCTTCGCTTTGAGGGTGGTGAAGCACTGCAACAGGTTGCCCTTGCCCAGAGAAGCTGGGGATGCCCCATCCCTGGAAGTGTTCAAGGTCAGGTTGCATGAGGCTTTGAGCAACTTGATCTACGGGAAGGTGTCCCTGCCCATGGCAGGAACTAGATGATCTTTCAGGTCTCTCCCAACCCAAATATTCTATGATTCTATGAGTTTGGGTTTTTTTTAAAAAAAAAGCGTTCGCTTTTAGAGTTGGAAAGACACAAGACCTTTACACAACCTTAAGTAAAAAAGCTGGCTATTTTGGACAGCATACCAGGCTGCAAGGAGCAGACTTCAGACAAGTGTTATTTTTCAGTTCCAATTTCAATTCATAACACTAACAAACGTGTTCAATTGCCAAGAGGAGGTATAGAAAGAATTTGGAACGTTGTAAAAGAATTCAAGTTTATCAGGGGTGACAGAGTCATTTTCTTAATGCAAAATCTCATCATTAATGAAGCCAGAATAGCAAAACCCTTAGTTGATGTCATTATGTTGGAACTCACAATCATTTTTTTCGTTTTCCATGCAGAAACACCATTTACAGCAGTTTTTTATACATTCTGTTGCCATTGTTTTCAGTGTTGCAATTTACAGGAGACCACAATCAAAGATCCAGTGTAGCTATCAAACCTGAAAAACACAATAAAATAAACCATAGTAGATGGGAATAATTGAAATAAAAATGCAATATCATCAGTTATCTCTAATATGTGTTTCCTTACTGGACACAGACCCAGGGTCAATGAGAAAGTTACTTCAGTCATAAAAGGATCGCAGCCATCAAATTTCTCTCACTGTGACAAATTATCTTGTATATAAAAGCACAAGAAAAGAGATAATAATTTTAACGTACAGCATCCAAGTATTTTTAGTAACTCACTCAGACATGTCCTTGTCTTTCAGGAGCACTAAAATTCTCCTCATATTTGTGTGTGCCACTGGGCTCTGGAATTTACGCAGCTTTACAGCTGTTTTGATGTGGTCTTGTCAAGTCATTTGCAAGATGTGTTTGTTATTCTGCTTCCCTTGTTCATGTTTCTCCTACCCTCTCTCACTCATGTACTATTTTCACATATACCCATACTCGTTTACATTTTTCACTCAATATACTCCACATACATTTGAAAACACTCTTTATAAATGATGCCAGAATTGCCTTCTTTGAGGAACTACTGCTTTCTCGTAATTGTATACATATGGAACTGAGGACCTGTTTTATTATATAATTGTCTGCTATGCATACAGAAATAGAGCATGCTGACTTCCAGCAAAATAAGAGGCATGTAATCTACTAAAGAATGAGAACAAGTCTATAACAGCTGGTTAACATTAAAAGAACTTTATGAAAATACTAACTGGCCTCATTTAAATGTCTTTATTCATATCCTTATGTTCTCTTTTCAGAGGGACACAGACAGCTGCGTTGCCTCCTGTCCAAAACTTTAGCTGTCTAAGTCTAGTCCTTTTACATGTACCTAAAGTACACAAGGTTCTTTGTAGAACATACCCAAGACATGATTCGAAATCCATGGAGGTCAGAAGATACCAAACAGAACAAGAACATAAGCTGAAGGGATGGTGAGAAAAACAAGAGAAAGGTGGAAAGCACAAAGAGAAGATGACAATTACACAAAAACAGGCACGTTTGCTCAGTTATCTCGACCACAAGAAACTGCTGAAAGCTTCTGTGCTCCAGCACAGACATCATTCCCGTACGCATCTTGAACAATGCTGTCATTTTCTTCGTATGTGTATTCAAAGACAGGCAGGGAACCACACAACTGGAAGTTATTGATAGATGGATCAATTTGCAAATACTGACCAAACACAGCATATACTTACCGACCTGCTCTTTGGCACTCTACAGCACCTCAGCACTGCTACTTATGTTTTAACTTACGGGTTCTTGCAAAGCCATTGAGAGCACGTGGCTTCATAAGGAAGCCTTGAATTAATTTGTTATCTTTAAAATACTAGTGTGAAATATAATGAAGGTTTATTATTACAATTACATAACTGTTCCAGAATTATTCTTGATCATGAGCCATCACAAAGTACTGATTAGAAGGATATTCTTAAAATATTAGATGAAAACCTAAGTAAACTATTATTCTACTGCAACAAGGACCTAAGGGAATATTTGGTTTAATACCATTTCTCTAAATATTTTTTTCTGGTTTTACCCCTAAGTGACATTAATTAATTCACAGAATCACAGAATGTTAGGGATTGGAAGGGACCTCAAAGGATCATCTAGTCCAATCCCCCTGCTGGAGCAGGACCACCTAGATCAGATCACACAAGAACGCGTCCAGGCGGGTTTTGAACATCTCCAGAGAAGGAGGCTCCACAACCTCTCTGGGCAGCCTGTCCAGTGTTCTGTTACCCTTACTGGGTAGAAGTTCTTCCTCATGTTTAAGCGGAACCTCCTATGTTCCAGCTTATATCCATTTCCCCTTGTCCTATCATTGGATGCCACTGAGAAGAGCCTGGCTCCATCCTCATGACAGTCATCCTTTACATATTTATAAACATTAATGAGGTCCTCCCTCAGTCTCCTCTCCTCCAAGCTAAAGAGACCCAGCTCCCTCAGCCTTTCCTCATCAGGGAGATGCTCCACTCCATCATGTTTGTGGCCCTGCGCTGGACTCTCTCAAGCAGTTCCTTGTCCTTCTTGAACTGAGGGGCCCAGAACTGGACACAATACTCCAGATGTGGCCAGATGTGGCCTCACCAGGGCAGAGTAGAGGGGAGGAGAACCTCTCTCGACCTACTAACCACACCCCTTCTAATACATCCCAGGATGCCATTGGCCTTCTTGGCCACAAGGGCACATTGCTGGCTCATGGTCATCCTGCTGTCCACCAGGACCCCCAGGTCCCTTTCCCCTGTGCTGTTCCCCAACAGTTCAGTCCCCAACTTGTACTGGTACATGGGGTTGTTCTTACCCAAATGCAAGACTCTACACTTGCCCTTGTTGTATTTCATTAAATTTCTCTCTGTTCAACTCTCCAGCCTGTCCAGGTCTCTCTGAATGGCAGCAGAGCGTCAGGTGTGTCAGCCACTCCTCCCAGTTTAGTGTCATCAGCAAACTTGCTGACCATGCACTCTATTCCCTCATCCAAGTCATTGATGAATATCTTGAACCATACTGGTCCCAGTACTGACCCTTGAGGGACTCCACTGGATACAGACCTCCAACTGGACTCTGTCCCATTGACCACTACTGTCTGGCTTCTATCCTTCAGCCAGTTCACAATTCCTCTAGTTTTACACTGCTCTTTGTGCTCAATAGACCAAAATGAACAAAATGCAAGTGACCCGAACATAAAAACCTCAGAAGTAGCCTGAATAGAATCATAGAATCATAGAATCATAGAATGGTTAGGGTTGGAAGGGACCTCAAAGATCATCTAGTTCCAACCCCCCTGCCATGGGCAGGGAAATCCTCCACTACACCAGGTTGCCCAAAGCTTCATCCAACCTGGCCTTGAACACCTCCAGGGATGGGGCATCCACAACTTCTCTGGGCAACCTGTTCCAGTACCTCACCACCCTCAATGTAAAGAATTTCTTTCTTATATCTAACCTAAATCTGCCCTCTTTCAGTTTAAATCCGTTGCCCCATGTCCTATCACTACACGCCCTTGTAAAAAGTCCCTCTCCAGCTTTCCTGTAGGCCCCCTTTAGGTACTGGAAAGCTGCTATAAGATCACCCCGGAGTCTTCTCTTCTCCAGGCTGAAATACTGGTATATGTCATTCTGGAAAACAGAAATGCTACTGAATCGAACCAGGCAGGGCCTGGGTGCCATATTTTGCTTTAAAGGGACATCATTACTCTGAACAGAATCCATCATATCCATCATTCAGTACTTGCCGTGATCTCAGAATTGCCCATGCGTAAGTACAGTATGAGATCTGCATCGAAAATCTTCAGAGGCAACACCACTGACTCCAGAACCTGCTCTGGATTTTTACAGAAGCACAGAAAGAGGCACAGGAATTTCTCATAAAACTCTCCATGTTACTAAGGATCAAATTTTCACTGCTGCTCCTCCCTCGGCAGTGCACTCACAATAGCCAAGCCTGCTAGAATTCAAAGTTTACTTTAAGGTTCCCTTGCAGTGATTTTCCTTCCCAGCTGTTATCAGTACACAGCTGGAGTTAATATGCTTTACTCTTGTTCACTATGTTTAAACTGGGCTGAAACAGCTGCTTCATTTGCTCTCAGCTTTGCAACAATGGTATCTAAGCCTCAGTGGCAGTTTGCACAGGCAAAACAGTCTTTTATCTCAAAATGTCCAGATTGAATTCATTCACTACTGCTGGTAAAGAAACCAAAATGTTAGTAACCGCGTTGCTTTCCAGCTACATAAAGTGGGAAAATTAGTTTTTCTGCATCAGAGAAAATTCAGTTCATGGTAGTAATTTATTTCCTCAGAATTTTTTAGCTGGAACCATTAATGTGAGCAAATAAATAAATGTAAATTGTCTGTCACAAGTAGTTGCCTTTCCATCCTGGAGCTGAATGTCTTACCTAGAAAGGGCTACATATGGGTATTGGGGATATAACAGTAATAATGCAATTCTACATCTTCTGTACTTCTATCATTAAAAAAAGACCATGTTTTTCACAGTAAGACTAATTAACCTGTGATAGTCTTTGACTATTATCTTTTTTTCCCCCATTTATCAATATGCAAACATTCCTACATTTTTTCCCTATCTAAAGACAAATACAAAGCAATTCATCACTGTCTATTGTACAGAAGAGAGTACACTATTTACAGATTACTGTTTTGTAGGCAAGGTAATATCAGTAGCCAATGCCAAAGTACATAGAGACATAGTTTAGAGTTTCCAATTCAGTTTCAGCTTAAATACAGTATTTTGAAAAGTAAGTTCCAAGAGTAAGAGACTCTGTCTACGCTTTTTTTAAGCTTAAAAGTGTAATGGTTTCAGTGACAAAATTTGCACTTGTGTTCCTAGACTTGTATCACACCCACATTACCAAAAAAACGACAGCATTTGCCGAGGGACAGATCATCTAGGTACAGTACTCTCTCATTGCACCTAGAGCACTTTGACTTGTTTGTGAAATCACAATATGGATGGTTTCAATTACTTTTTAAAGTTTTAATTCACTTAATTAAGCCACAGAGATAAAATATATTTGGTTTTTTTGTTTGTTTTAATTCAGAAGAGCAATCCTGGCAGTAAATTAGATGGCTTGGCTCCCAGTTCATTTATTTTCTCCTATCTGTATTTCCCAAGTTGCCTACAGTTAGTTACAGAACTTTCACTGCATGCAAAAGTTTTGTCTTCACCACATGCGACAGAGAGAAATTTAGCAGGTTCTGTTGTATATTTTACTAACTGAAAATGAACAAAAATCTTGTAGAAGACTAAAAAAGTATTCCATGATCTTGACAGAAGTTGACATTTCTATCAAAGGTTAAACTTCTCCCACATGCCAGAAGCTTTTGCTGGTGTCAGCTACCCCAAAATCCTCAGTATCTCATTTAACAGTTGTTAAAACGTTGTACTCACATGCATTTGTCTGGGTATA